CTGCGGTGGCCAGAAGTGGCCACTGCACTCCAGTCTGGGCGACAGAGTGAGACTCCCAACTCAAAAAAAAAAAAAAAAAATTAGGCATGGTGGCACATGCCTGTAGTTCCAGCTATTTGGAAGACTGAGGTGGAAGGATCACCTGAGCCCAGCAGGTCGAGAATGTGATGGCTGGGACCATGCCACTGCCCTCTAGTCTGGGTGATAGAGTGAGACTCCAACCCAATAAATAAATAAACAAACAAACGAATAAACAAACATTTTGGCCAGGTGCAATGGCTCACACCTGTAATTCAGGCACTTTAGGAGGCAGGGGCAAGAGGATTGCCTGGGCCCAGGCATTCGAGACCAGCCTGGACAATTTGGCCAGACCTTATCTCTACAATAAATAAATAAAAATTAGCTGGGTGTGGTGGCACACACCTGTGGTTCCAGCTACTTGGAAGACAGGTGGAAGGATCGCCTGAGCCCAGCAGTTTGAGGCTACACTCCAGCCTGGGCAACAACATGAGACTCCAACTCAAAAATAAAAAATACAAGCCGATTGCCAGGTGTGGTAGCGCATGCCTGTAGTTCCAGCTACTTGGAAGGCTGAGGTGGAAGGATTGCCGGATCCCAGCAAGTCGAGGCTGTGGTGGCCAGGAGCGGCTGCTGCACTCCAGTCTGGGTGACAGAGTGAGACTCCAACTCAAAAAAAAAAAAAATACAAGCCGGGCTCGGTGGCTCAGCCTGTAATCCCATGCCTTTGGGAGGCTGAGGTGAGTGGATTGCCTGAGCCCGTGGGTTCGAGACCCGGCTGGGCAACTTGGCCAGACCTCATCTCTACAATAAATTAAAAAATCAGCCGGGCGTGGTAGCGCATGCCTGTAATTCCGTCTACTTGGAAGGCTGAGGCGGAAGGATCGTTGGAGCCCAGTGGGTCGAGGGTGTGGTGGCCGGGAGCGGCCACTGCACTCCAGTGTGGGCGAGAGTGAGACTCCAACTCAAAAAAAATAAAATAAAAAATAAAAAGATAAAAAATACAATAAAATAAATTTAAAACAAAATTTTTATATAACGAAAAAGATAAGACAATAACAAAATAAGAGGTATGACCGAGTTGAAGGAAGAGCCTAAGTCTGTTAAGGAGTGGTGACTGCAGGGGGAAGGGAACCACATTTGAATGCCCTTCTTTCATCACTTTCATGGCATTATTCTGGAGTCTTCATCTTCTTAGGATTTCTGGATCTCAGCACAATTGACATATGGAGCCAGGTAATTATTTGCTGTGGGGGACTGTTCTGTACATTGTTAGCAGCATTCTTGCCCTCTTCTACCCACTAGAAGGCAATAGCATCCCCCTGCCAGTTGTGACAACCAAAAATGTCTTCAATCATTGCCTAAGGTCACCTGGGAGCCAAAATCACCCCAGTTGTTTTTTTATATTAATTTTTTTCGTTTGAGTTGGTGTCTCATTGTCATCCAGGCTGGAGTGTAGTGGCACACTCATGACCACCGCAGCCTTGACCTGCTGGGCTCAAGCAATCCTTCCATCTCAGCCTTCCAATATATTAATTCTTTTAGGTGACAAGATCTAGGTTGCCCAGGCAAGAGTCCAGTGGCTATTCAGACTCCATAGTAGTACATTACAGCCTCAGGCTTCTGGCCACAGAAGCCTGTGTCAGCCTCCTGAGCAGCTGGGACTACAGGCAAGAGCCACCATGCTTGGTTTTGTGATGCGTTCCTATATGGATTGTATAATAATTACGTATAATAATTACAGTTAATAGCTGGGTGCCTATCATGGGCCAAGCTCTATGCTAGCTACTTGAACATATGAACTCTGATTCAGCAACCTAAGAGTTCTGTCCATTTTACAATAAGGAAACACAAAGCCGTCCAGTTAAACAAGCTCTGTATCAGTTAAAATACCATTATTTCAGGCCAGGTGCAGTGGCTTATGCCTATAACCTCACACCTATAATCCCACCTGATCTGGGTCCCAATGACTTTTATCTTTACCCAAAGTTAAAGGAAATATTGAAAGACATTTTGATGACATTCAGACATCAAAGGTAATACGATGAGAGTTCTGATGGCCATTTCAGAAAAAAAGAGTTCCAAAATTGCTTTGATGGGTGGACTAGGCACTGGCATCAGTGCATAGCTTCCCAAGGGAAGTACTTCCAAGGTGACCATAGTGATATTCAGCAATGAGGTATGTAGCACTTCTTCTATGATGAGTTTGCTAACTTAATTGTCACACCTGGTACATCTCCAGTTCAGTTTGTCAATAGTGACCCATTAGCAAATAAAGCCCTGATTTTTGTTTTGTTTTTTTATTTGTTTGAGTCGGAATCTCACTGTCATCCAGGCTGGAGTGCAGTGGCACACTAACAGCCACTGCAGCCTCAACATGCTGGACTCAGGCAATCCTTCTGCATCAGTCTTTCAAGTTAATTTTTTTCTTCTTCTTCTTCTCTAATTTTTTAGCCTGGGCTCAGGACACACTTGAGGTCAGATCCCTAGCAGATACATGGTGCAGAGGCGGTATTTAATTTCAGGCTAGGAAAATTAGCTACTAGTTTGGTATCTGACAGTTCCTATTAGCTAAGAGGGCAAAGAATGCAGACTGAAAGAGAAAACAAAGCCTCTCCACAACTGGGAAAGCCTGGGAATTAGAGGGGAAGAGTAAGCCACAGAAGGAGAGGGTAGTGAAGAGAATGTTTTTTTGGTTTTTGTTTTTGAGTTGAAGTCTCACTCTGTCACCCGGCCACCACAGCCTCGACCTGCTGGTCTCTGGCAATCCTTCCGCCTCAGCCTTCCAAATAGCTGGAACTACAGGCGCGCGCTACCACACCCGGCTAATTTTTTTGATTTATTGTAGAGATGAGGTCTCGCCAAGTTGCCCAGGCAGGTCTCAAACCTGCGAGCTCAGGCAATCCACTCATCTCAGCCTCCCAAAAAGCGTGGGATTGCAGGTTGAACCACCGAGCCCAGCTTAAGAGAATGTTTTGATTTATTGTAGAGATGAGGTCCGACCAAGTTGCCCACTCTGGTCTCAAACCCCTAGATTCAGGCAGTCCTCTCACCTCTGCCTCACAATGTGCTATTACAGGTGTGAGCCACCGCACCCGGCCAAAGCCCCCTGTTGTTCATATATTCATTTTCTTTTTTTTTTTTGAGTTGGAGTCTCACTCTGTCGCCCAGACTGGAGTGCAGTGGCTGCTCCCGGCCACCTCAGCCTCGACCCGCTGGGCTCCGGCGATCCTTCCGCCTCAGTCTTCCAAGTAACCGGAATTACAGTCATGAGCTACCAAGCCTGGCTGATTTTTTTTATTGTAGAGATGAGGTCTTGCTGCCCAGGCGGGTCTCGAACCCACGGGCTCAGGCAATCCACTCACCTCAGCCTCCCAAAGGCGCGGGATTACAGGCTGAGCCACCGAGCCCAGCTTTTTTTTTTTTTTGAG